CAAAAAATAAGTAGGGAGATTGGAGAGAGTTAATTTAATGAGAGTAAGTCTGCCTCACTTAGAAAGGTACATACGCTTCCACCTTGCTAACCTCCTCTCCATTCTTTCCACAATACCATACCAGATATGGGTACTTTTAAATTGTGCCCCCTAACGGGAGCCTTAGATATGACATCGACAGCTGCGCAACCTTACAACCCAATATATTAGCTAGCTTCTCCACGTTATTGACCTCTCCTATTGGAATAGTCTCAGACTTCCTCAAATTAATCTTCAAACCAGACACCGCTTAAAAGCATAGGAGCAGATGGCGCAAGTTCCTGAATTGTTCAACATCTGCATCGCATAAGATTAGCGTGTTATCTGCAAATAACAAATGGGACACCTGCAATTGATCAACCATAAAACCCCTTAACAAACCCGCTCCCAGAGCTCTTTCAATCATCCTACTGAAAGCCTCCATCACAATGACAAATAACAATGGAGACAATGGATCTCCTTTTCTCAAGCCTCTACTTCTCTAGAAATAACCATCGGGTGTTCCGATGACCAAAACTGAGAATGAAACAGTAAAAATACAGAATTGAATCCATTTACACCACTTATCCCCAAAGCCACACGCCTAAGCATATACAACAGGAATCCCCAATTTACATGATCATAAGCCTTCTGAATATTTATCTTACATAACATCCCTGGGACCCTAAGCCGCATTCTTGAATCTATGCATTCATTCGCAATAAGCACAGAGTCCAAAATCTGACGCCCTTTTACAAATGCTTTCTGAAACTTGGACACTACTTTCCCCAGCACCTCTTTTAACCTGTTTGCCAGGACTTTCGCTATAATCTTATACACCCCGCTGACAAGGCTAATAGGGCGAAAGTCCTTAATATCAGTTGGACTTTCACTTATAGAAAATTGCTTGCTTCCTCATGGGCTATAAATCAGTTGGACTATTTTGGAGGGTTTGATAAATCTATACCATTTCTTTGCTCTTATAACTTGTAACATAGTTTTCCTTAGCAATTGGTCTTTCAAAAGACTTCTGAAGATGGTGGCTAAAGTTTGAAGAACTCAGAGTAACTATCAATTTATGACCTTATCATGTCAAATGACAAAATTCTCTGTTACAAGTAAAATTGCTTCATATGTGTTCCATAATTGGTGGAAAATATGCAAATTATATATGAACTAATAAAAGTAATTTTTGCAATTCAGACTTTTTTAACCTGAGCTTAGTGTTTTTGTATTTTTATTAATTTCTTGCTACATAGAAGACGACGCTGAGCAACTCAGCAGCCCATCTGTGAAAAAGAGCGAAGAAAAGGGAATTAATGTAGTACACGAGGTCAAATGCAAACTTTATGTGAAGGTAATTATCAATCTGACAAAATAGTGAGCATATGCCATCATAAAATTTTAATTAGAACTGATAAATGTGATGTAAATTGTGTTGCCCACGTTCAGTTTATTACTTTCATTTGAAGAAGCAATACTTTCCTCACAGTCCTTATCTTATTAGTAACTTTTACAGAGTGTTGTAAATTGCCCGTCTAGACAACGCCTATTCGTGAGGCGTGGCAAAAATGCTGAGCCTAGGGCCTGGGCGGCTAATTAAGGGGTCAACAGAAGCTTGACCGTTTAAAGCGTGCTTTATTTTTTTTTTTATTATAAAATTTTCAACATTTCAACTTTTATCAAATTGGATTGAAAGGTCCAAAAAGTTGTTTACCCACTTATTGGCCCACTAATTTATAGAAAGCATCTCCAAGGATTTTGTGTGAACTTCGGATGTGGGATAAGAATTCCTTTGGTTTGACTTTAGTGTATTGTACGTACTATTACATTAGTAGTTATTTATATTTTATTAAGTTAGTTAATTATTTTTCATATCTTTTACTAATTAATAAAAATTAAAAACTCTCCAAATATTCAGTTAGCACTTCTATACTATATCTTGTTTGTATGTATTATTAAATGACTTTTAGATTGAATAAAAATTTAAAAAAAGAAAATGCTTTTTTATGCTTAAGCCTTGCCTAGCTTGAAGCTTGGTCTTCACGCTTTGCCACGCATTACGTTTTTTAGAACATTGCTTTTACATGCTTTCATTCTGATTCCATATGCTATTGGTGGGGGAGCTTTGGACCTGAGTA